TGAGATAGAGAAACTTGCACATTAGCACATCCACTTTTAGTTAGTCACCCATGGTTCTCAAAATGAGTTAATGTTTCTGTTCTTGGCGTTAATGAGAATTTGGGATGCTTGTGTTAGCAGGGAAAAAACAATTGGAATTTTGGAAGAGTACTCATCTTGGTGTTGATGAATACCAAAGGTAGTTTTTGTCAAATGCGCCCTGGTAATAGTGTGGTAATTAATAGGATAAAGAAGAAACTCATTGTAAAACATGTTACAAAATTGAATGACAATATAAACACCACCAAGTAGAAGTTGAGCAAATCAATGCACATTATTTTTTTTTTAGTCTCCTTTTTATTATACATAAAAGGATATTAAGAAAAAAAAAAAAAAAAAAGAAGAGGAATTTTAAGGAACATGAATCTTGATATAAAACTAAAAATATTTGAAACTAGAGTGACAAAAACCATGCATCCTCTTCTCCACGGAATTAGCAAAAAGAATTGGCAGGTAATACAAGGCTCTCAGGTGATACAAGGCTCTCCGCATACACTATTGCATCACAAATGAACTCACCTGAAAAGCCAGGCGGTACAAGATCTTTATATGATCTCTCACTTATTGTATAAAACTAATTTTGAGAGGAACGTCGTCACAAGAGTTTCATCATTATTTAACAAAGTCAATGGCGCATTTGCATAAAGTGAACGTGGGAATTCCACATGAACTTTAGTCCAAGATTGCTCCACTCTGTATTCTTTCATTACCCAAAATTTATCACTATCCGGTAGTTTTACACAAAGACATCCTCCAAATACCCCTATTACGCACATTTCATGAACATTTGTGAAGAAACTGGGCAATAGAATTCCTGAGAGTTTCTCACCCACCAAATCAAAAGCAGCAATCTTTCCACGATTGGGATAAGAATAAAAGTATTCAACATAAAAACTGTTTTCAACATAGTCTTTGAACCTATTTCCAAAGAACCAGCTTTTAGTGAATATATATAGACGCTTTGTTTATCTAATTTTAACAGTTTATAATCATCAGAGAAACTGTCATATCCAAATGCACATATATTAGGAGAAACTGGAAGGGGAAAAATCAAGTAAATTGCAATATGGTATTTGCTTGGACTCCCTTGTATAGAGATTGAATATTACTGGATAAAAACCATATGCATACCAATCCATTGCAACTGAGAAACTCATGATGATGATGAGGCTTGATGTCAAAAATAATATTATCAATATTTTCTGCCACAATGATGTCATTGTGTATTGATCCGAGGTCTGCAGTGTAGATTGCAACTCAGAGACTCATTGACTATGAGTATCCGCTTTGTGATTGATTTTGATTGATTGAGGTGAGTTCTAGTGAAGTAGGAGTTGGAGATCAAAGAAAGCCATGATTTGGAAACACACTTGAATCGTATCAGAGAATTCAAAGGCAATTTTAATAATATTTTGACAAGGAGATGGTGAGGAATGTAAGGCATTAATGTTGTAATCTCTTCGGCCTTCAATTCATTGCTTTGTCTTCTTTCTCTGATGCTTCCTTTTTCTTCTCTTAAGACTTTCTTCATTGCTTTTTATACTTTCTTCTTTTTCCTCTCTCTTACTTTCTTCTTCTTCTCTGATGCTTTCTTCACTGCTTTCTTCTTCTTCTCTGATACTTTCTTCTTCTCCTTCTCCTCCAAAACAGAAGCAGGGAAGCCGAAGCAAGAAGCAAGAAGCAAGAAGCAAGAAGCGGCGAAGCCAAGCCATAACTTGTAGTGATAACTAACTCTCAGTTAATCCTCAATTTAGAAAAGTTGATATATATATATATATATATTTAAAACTGTTTCGTCTTCATAGTGAATACAATTGAGATCTCTCTGCTTCTTATATGCCGCCGAGCGAAGTACAGTTGTGAAAAGTAGACCTATTCACCCCCTCTTATCTCTTCCGGGTGATAAAAGTGATTATGAAGTTCTTGTGGAATAATAATTTACCACTTCCGCAACACCTAGAAAATTTCCAGCTCGAGCCCTATTTTGGGTTGAGTTCGGTTTGGGCTCCAACCCAATTCGAAACCCGAAATAAATATTATATAACTTTTGTAATTTTTTTAAAAGTATATATTAAATCTAATGGCTTTAATTTTTTTTAGATCCCATCTGAGATTGTTTGGGTAGGTATTTTCTTTTGGTTTGATTCCTTCTCTGTTGTTTTCTTTGAAATTGTGTTGCTAAATGCAACAAATTGAAGCTGGTCTCTAGAGTTTTTTAAAAATAAAATAATAATTATAAGAACCTAATTACTTTAACAAATTAGAATCTTTTAGATTAAAAAAAAAATACAGAGGCAAGATTATATAATGGACTATTTTAAAAAATTGAGTGGGACATTTCTTAAATTTTAACAAAATATATAGGTAGTAATACAAAAAAAAAAAAAAAAATTCTAGTCGGGGCCTATGCTAGGTCCGTGGTTCCACGGCCGCAAGACTTGGATGTTTCAAACCGCCCACTAAAATTAAATAATTTGGGCTTCCAATTTTAAACCGCCCAAGCTTGTGCATTAAAATTAAATCATTTGGGCCCTCAAATTGAAGTGAGTGGGTCAATAATAGATAAAAAGTGAGTACCTATTACATTCAAAGGTCAATGGTGATTGATGAGTTAAGAATGAATATTCATCTTAACCGCTCAAACAAAACTATCTTTTATCTCTTTTCCTCTCCGCTCAAGTAAAGCACCTTCAATAACTATAGAAGCACCTTCAATTATCATAGATAGATAACTAAAAATAAAAATTTTAAAAAATTTGGAAGGTCAGCATCAATTTTCCTAAACAAAAAAACTATATATATACCACTGAGAAAAATTTTGGGGGCGAACTTTAAATGTCATATAGAAAGCTACCATTAATAATTATAAATTAATATTAGTAATAAAGATTTTAGAAAAGTTTAGAAAACTGCCATTAATAATTATAAATTAATACTAGTAATAAAGATTTTAGAAAATTTTGGGGTTTTTTTTAGTGACATGTGAAGTTCAGATAAGAAGGCATGCATGCGTATATATGTATATATATATATATATATATATATATCAAGGTAATGGCCATACCACACAAGAAAGTGAATTATGGTAGTTCACAGGATAATCTGATAGGCCTTTTTTGGATGGACTAATATTAGTAATACTTTTTTTTTTGGGGTTAAAATTTCCTATAATTTTTTTGATAGTCCATCCTTAATTTCACCCTTAATGTTCTCATGGGTGTCCCAGATCATCAATAGTCTATAAAAAATAAAAATGAAGATATAAAATAACCATTTGAAATGCTTAAGTGATTATCAAAGATTATGTTTCTTACTTTTAATTTTTTAGAAGTAGTTAATGAATGTTATATATATATTATATTTTTGTTGTAGAAAAATAAATACAATCCTTGGATTCACATGTCTGTAAATTGCCCTGCGGCTAAATAAATTAATACACGTCCCAAATAATAACAGCTCCATAATATGGGGAGAGAGTTCCACTCCTTCCAAAACCTCTCCATTCCTCTGCATCCTCACAACTTAGACACAATAAAGTTGTCCTCTAGATAATAAGACTAAGATACCTCAATTAATTAAGTTGTTCTACCGTTTAAAATGCATTAATAATGAAATAATACAGCTAAAGACAGAATTAGGGATGTCCACAGGGTCGGCTCGAGCCTTAGGTGAGTTAGGCGGTTGCTAAGGCCTCAGCCAATAAGAAGGTCCCATAATTTTTTATTTCTCTATATATTATTACTTTCCTAAAACAATTATAGTATTTTCTTTAATTATTAAACTTCAACATATAGAAAAATTTGACAATTAACCTAAAAGATTTATAATCTTTATTGTTTTGAGGGCCCCCAAATTTTTTTTTTTTTTTATCTTTATACATTATAACTTACCTAAATATTTAATTTAATTTAATTTAATTTTATTTTCATTCTCATTACATCAGCATATATACACACACATTAAAATTAATTAAATATTAAATATATATTTAAGTGAAAATTGGTGAAACTTTCTATATTTTTCTAAGACTCCTATTAATTTTTATTTTCTCTTTTTTATTTTATTCCTCACATATTTTTTCTCCTCTCTCATTATAATGTTTTTACAATCTCACAATCTCATTCTAGAACAAGATTTTGAATATACTTATATGCTATTAAAGAATTTATTGGAGCATTAAACCAAATTATTCGAAATCAGTTTTTATTACTCTATAACTTAAATTAGTTTATAGTTTTATTAATTTTTGTTATCATAAAATTATATATTTTGTTTATAATTTTTATTTGTATTGTTAAATATGACTATTAGAAAGCACATAGCCAATTAATTAACAATGGAATTAGAGTTTGGAAAAATTTTAGTAATAGGTTTAAAAATCACTAAACAAATAATAACTGGCATAAATATATGAATAGATTTAATTAAAAGGCCACTTTATTTTTTTCGCCTAAAGCCTCATATTGTATTGAGCAGCCCCGGGATGTCCATACATATAAATGCAGGAACTTCTCTCCCACGCAATGTAGGACGTCACCGGTATGTGCTTACATCACCATTTCTGGCTATGGATTGTCTCTAATACCATTTGTCATGGACTTACGACACACCTTCCGCTGTACATATTGTCTACTTTGCACACTCTTCTCTGCTCATAATTTTCTTCAAAAATTTGTCCACACACATAAATGCGATGAACTTCTTCCCCAAATTATGTGGGACATCACAGTATCCCGCGATATTTCTTACATTATACACAAGTTCCATAGTACTTGCAAAATATATAGATATCTAAATTCTAAAAACATAATCTTTTACCAATTTAACATAATCTATATATGTCATTTAATCAGGAAAAAAAGAAAAGAAAAGGGAAGAGAGTCATGAATAAACATGAAGCACTAAGAGTTCTAGCTCTTCGAGGGCTCAAGTCCCTGGCATGTGATTTGCTCTTCCATCAATCACAAAAGCAGTGATTTGGCAAAAAAGAATCGGAGAAGTTTTTGGAAACTTTCATTTATTCTTGATATTGGCTCTTCATTCAGAAGGACAGGGTGGTACAAGGGTCTCCGCATACACTTTGCTTCAAAAATTACTTCATTTGGTAGGCCATGCAATACAAGATCCCTATATGTTCTCTCACTAGTCACTAGTGTTGTATAACCAAGTGGGAATGGTTCTTCATAAAGAGTTTCATAATTCTTTAACAAAGCAAGTGGCTTCCCATATCGTGGAAATGGGATTTTGGCATGAAATTTAGTCCAAGACTGCTCCACTACATATTCCTTCATTACCCAGAATTCATCACTCCGGGGTGGTTTTACACAAAGGCAACCTCCAAATACCCCCATATGGCACGTTTCATGGACATTGGTGAAGAAACTAGGCAAAGGAATTTCTGATAATTTCTCAGCCACCAAATCAAAGGCAACAACCTTTGATTGCCTATTTGAATTCTCATCCAAACAAAACCAATGAATGGCTCCATTTAGTTGAGTGTGAACATAAAAAATGTATTCAACAAAAAAATTGTATCCAACATAGTCTTGAACCTTTTTCCAAGAACCACCTCTCAGTGAATATATACAGACGCTACATCTACCTAATTTCACCAGTTTGTAATCATCAGAGGAACTGTCATATCCAAATCCACATCTTCTATAATCTTCAAAACGAAGCAAATCGCAATCTGGTATTTGGTTGGACTCCCTTGTGGAAGGATTGAATATTACATATGAGCGACGGAATGAAAACCATATACATACCAATCCATTGCAACTACCAATCATATAGAGCAACTCATCAGGCCTGATGTCAAGAATATTATCAATCTTCACTGCTACAATGTCCTTATTATGTGCTGATCCAATGTCTACAGTGTAGAGACAGCTACACGGACGGCTATGCGGATGGAAAGTGCCTATAAGTATCCGATTTGTGATTGATTGATTGAGGTGAGTTTTAGTGAAGTGAGAGTGGGAGATTAAAGAAAGCCATGACTTGGAAACACATCTGAATCGTAAATCGTATCAGAGACTTGACAGGCAATTTTGATAGTATTTCGACAAGGAGATGGTGAGGAATGTAAGGCTTCGACAAGGAGATGGTGAGGAATGTAAGGCATTGATGTTATACTCTCTGCCGCCTTCATCCCATTGCCCTGTCTGCTTTCTTCTCCCGCTTTTCCAAAAAGCCAGCAGCCAACCCAACCCATAACTTGTAGAGCGATCTCTCTGCGACTGAAAGCAGAATAGCTGGACTCCTAATCCAACCAGCAAAGAAGTGCGAGAGGGCGCCTGAAAGTCTCTGGAAGATAGGTTAATCACACAAGTAATTGATTTTAAATAAAATATTTCAATACAATGGGAACATGTTATTCTCTAATTAAAATTCAATTCTGTTGCAATTTGATCACTATAATTTGGAGTCCCTCTCTAAATGGGATTCAAATGCATTCAATCATTCATTTCTTCATTAATTGCAAAAGTTGCTATTATGGATGAATAGAGTTCGATCAAACTACTATGACTAAAAATAAAATCATACACAAAATTATTAGATTGGATAATTCACTGAAACTTTCAAAACTTACAAATTAATACAAGTACAGAACTACAGGGTCTCCTTCTACTTCTTTTGTTTGTTTAATTTAACAAAATTGTTTTACAACTTAACCAACTTAATTGTTAAGCTTGCTGTGTCATTATGCGAAATAATCATCTTTCAAGAGCTAGTGTACAAGACACACCAATAGGCGAGCTGCCTATTGAACTGGAAGGTATTCTGATTTTACCTTTGAGTGCTAATAAGTGGAATCGGACATTAAATAGAACTAGAAAAGACATTTATATATATATTAGAAACTAATTCATTCATCCTAAATCATGTTCAAAAAATAAATAAATAAATAATCATTCATCCAAAACTTCATTTTATTCTTGATATTGCCTTTGATTCACCTCCCATGATGGGCGATACGAGGCTCTCCATATAGGCTGCTTTCACAACAAACGTTTTAGTATTAGTATCTGGCATACCCTGGAGTACAAAATTCCTACATGTTCCCTCTCTTGTGTTGTATAAAACCAACTCCACAAAGTCTATCAGTAACAAAGCTTCATCGTTGTAGAACAAAGCCAATGGCTCCATAAACCTATGGTATGGAGCTTTAATCTCCACTTTAGTCCAGGACTGCTTCACTCCGTATTTCTTCATTATAAGAAATTCATGACCAGTATGTGGTAGTGGTAGTATACAAAGACATCCTCCAAGCAACTTCACTCTGGACAATTCACTTTTAAAAGCCGAAGTGGAGAAATCAGGCAAAGGAATCTCCCTGAACTTTTCATCTATCAAATCAAAAGCAACAATCGCTAACGGCTCCATCCATATTGTGTCCAACAAAAGCCAATGGAGGGCACCATTCAGTAGTGTTCCAGAAGCTACAGCAAGGCCATGGTAAGGGAAATGTTGAACAACCTTTTTCCAAGAATCACTTCTCAGTGAATAAACGTAAAAGCCATCTTTATCTTCTTTCACCACTTTGTAATCGTCAGTAGAGTGATCATAGCCAAATCCATGCTTATACCGATCATCAAAGTAACGAAAATCGCCATATGGTTTTATTTCCTTGTATACTCTGGTGGAGAGATTGTATAGGAATAGTGAACCTCCTGCATAAGTGAAGCATACCAACCCATTTGAAGAACCAATGAACTTAAGCTTGGGATGAGACTTGATCTCAAGAATATGATCAATCTTCTCAGCTGCGAGGTTAAACTTGTAGAGTCGATGGTCATGGAAATCGCACCTAGCAATGATTATGTGCAGTTTTTCGATACTAAGATTTGTGATTGATTGGTGAAGGTGAGTTGTAATGAATTGGGGTGCGGAGACTAAATTGAGCCATGACTTGCATACGCACCTCAATCGTAAGAGAGACTTGACTGGCAGTTTTGAGAGTATACCGGTGACGACACCATAGGGAAGGTAAGGTATGATCGTCTCTTTGCATGATTGATTTCTTTTCTTTGCCTCCATGGCTTTGGCTTTCCCTTCTTCTTCACTATCTTACGTCTCTACTTCTTTTAATAATATACTACGTACTTTGTGCCAAGGATATTATTGTTACACACAAAACCATTCAATATAACAAAGTTCTTCTAGGAAAAGGATTGAAGAAGAGAAGGGATGAACATAAAAGAATTTGAATTCTTTTATTAATTATTTAATCAATTCATAGAAGCTAGAGTTCTTGTGGAATAACAATTTGCTTATAAACAATATCAATCCTTATATAGGATATTAAATATACTGCTAAATAGCTATCCCTCTATATCTTGTATACCAACAAAAGCAAGATTCCCCCCTAGCCATTTTGTCAAACAGTTGTAATGCTACTACAACCATAAACCTTTCTTCGCTCAAATTTACTCTGAACATATTAAACAGATGTCTATATTAGGGTTTATCCCTTTCTTCGCCGAACTTACTGCACTCACCTGACTCAAAACCCGTAAAAATTCAATTAATCATAAACCCTACCATAATTGAGCAACAAACAAAAGGAAAATGAAAATTGCAATACCAATCAATTAAAAGCATAGATCACACAATATATGATGCTATATAAGTAAATGATCAATAGAGTTGACAAGTTCCACCATATACCATAAACCCTAATATAGAGTAAAGTATATTAACAAGTTCCGCCTCCGTCGGTCGGTGGCTACCTTATCGAAGTGATGGGTATGGATGTCCTCCAGCATTAGAGACGAGGCCTGCTTCATCATCGTCTTTGAGAGGTTGTTCATCTTATTCAAAGCTTTTTCATCCTACGTAATTTGCACTTGTCCGGCTCATAGAATTGGAACCTTAAGAAATAAAATTGATGGAATTTGAAAAAAATAATTAAGAAAATTAAATCAAAATTTTTTCAAATTTTAATTCTAAAGCTCCAAGTCGGCATCTCAAGGTTACTTATTAATGGATAATGGATTGAATCAAAGAAAAAGTTTTTTTTTTTTTGGTTAATTGTTATTTTCTGTCCTTATACATGACATTTAGTAAAGAAAATAAATAAATAAATAACATAGAATTTTGAATAAACTTGATGCAAATATATATAGGGTAATTTACATAAACCTTTTTATATGGTTTGTCATAATTATATGGACCTCTTTTCTTATTTGAAAAATTACTCACCTTCTCTATTTTTTAAAAAATCTTACACGGCTAATTTACTAAAATTTATTAAAATATCCTTAATTTATTATGATAAATTACTGAAGTACCTTGTGTGTGTATGTGTATTATACACACACACATACATGGAGAGAGAGAGAGAGAGAGAGAAATTAAATCTTAAACTGTTTGAGAAAAATTAAATTTTAATCTTTTTTATATTGTTTTGATTTGTTTAATTGTTCTCAATAACTTTGTATTTTTGTAATTTAATTTTTAACTTTTTTGATAAAGGAGTTGAAATTTGGTGATTCTCAATTGAAAGAAGTCGTATAAATATTTGGATCTTAGGCATGTTTTCGGATGAGTGATCTTTGCATCTCACTGTTTTATTTATTTCTTTAATTATTCATTTTGTATAATCTTTTACTACTATCATGTTTTTTTTTTTTTGGGTACTACTATCATGTTGTTATCCCTTCTTTTTGGTATTGCTTTGATTTGTTCAATTGTTCTCAATAATTTGTATTGTTGTAATTTAATTTTTAACTTTTTTGATAAAGGAGTCGGAATTTGATAATTCTCAATTGAAAGAAGTTGTGTAAATATTTGGATCTTAGGCATGTTTTCGGGTGAGTGATCTTTGCATCTCACTGTTTTTTTTTTTTTTTTTTTTTTTTTATAATTATTTTGTATAATTTTTTACTACTCCGCTCATATTCTTTTATTATTATTTTAAAAAAAAAGATTATTTCTTTTCTTGTGCGAAACTCGAAGACAAAGCAAAGATGATTATGATGAGACAGCTCCATTAGTATTTTGTTTTCATTCATTTTCTACACTTTCATTCTTTCTTTTCTCCCAAATTTTATTTTGATTTGAGTATGATTTTATTGATTTTACTTGTCAATTACATTAAGAAAAATAATATAATTGACGTTAAACGCGCTTTTCTCATCTACCCATGCAAACAACTCTTTGGGATCCACCCTCTGTGACTGAAGAACCCTAAATCTTCTGCAAAAACTGGAGACAAAGCAAGGATGATGACGAAATACAGCTCCATTAGTATTTTGTTGTTCATTCATTTCCTACACTTTCATTCTTTCTTTTCTCCCAAATTTTATTTTTTTCAATTTGTGTCACAAATTAACCATTTGAATGCTTTTTTTCATTAGGGAACTATTTGATGGGGAGAAAAAATCAAAGTATCATTAATTTGGTTTGGAGATCCTTTGTTTCAAAGAGAACAAAAAACAACAGAGCAGTGAGAGGAAAGAGCGAGAGGAGAGATGGAGAGAGCAGTCTGGAAGGAAAAATAAATGCCTCAAAGAACAGTGACACATCAGGCAAAGAACATCTCCCCGAATTTTTCATCTACCAAATCAAAAGCAACAATCGGCCCCATCCATATCAAGTCTCTACTTCTTTGAATTAATACACACACACACACACACACACAGTACTGCTTTGTGCCAGGGATGCTTCACAAAACAATGAACAATTTTGAATCCACTAAGTAATCTACTCCCATTACATGTATTTGTAATAATAATAATAATAATAATAATAATAATAATAACAATAAAAGAAACCTGTCACATTACAAAAACTAGAAAAACAATTTGATTTTTTTTTATTTATTAGTTTTGTATCTCCAACTATGTAACTTCTGCCTTGTACTTGATATTACACAAGTAAGAAAACAATCAAATGATTAAAGAACAATCCTGCTTAGAACTGCAAGTAACTTTTTGTATGCAGGGATGCATAGTACGTGCAGGGCCTGGTGTTAGCCTGGAGGTATATCACCAAAATTGAAGAGAGGTCACATTTGAGCCCTGCAAGTGTGCAGTGTACAACACAGTAGCACACATAAGAGATGGTGGAAGCAACTAGTAATTACTAATATGTAAAGACAAGGAAAGCTCACAAAAATTAATCTTTTATCTAGTTGCAGAAACTTCACTTGCAAAATTGGAGCTCAGCTCAACAGCCAGTGTCTCCAAATACATTTGGCTGGAATATCTATATAAGTATCTATAAATGACCAACCTAATCACAATGGCAGCAGTAGTAAAACGATCACATCTCGGGCGGATCAGTGCTCCCCAACTTCTTCACACTCATCTGCATAACTGAGCACAAAAAGAGGGAAAGAGTAGTCAGGTGTTTATCCAAGAACATAGAAAAGAAGAATTACATCCATTTGAACAGTTAATAAATAAAATATGCCTATTATGTTTTATATACACAAAAGTGACTCATTTATTATTTTTTTTTTCCAGAGCCTACCCCAAGATTGTAGCTGTAATCATTTTCGAAGTATTGTTTTAGTTCTCTTGGGATGACTCAGGTAAAGATATATTTACAACCCTACCCCAAGATTGTAGTAGTGGTCATTTTCGAAGTATTGTTTTATTTCTCTTGGGATGACTCAGGTAAAGATATATTTACAACCCGACACATGCACTAGGATCAATTGAATGGTCACAGGCGAATGAGAGTTGGTTATCCAAACTTCATCAACTTAATTTCGTGCAGTACATAGGAACAAAAAGTAAATAATCGTGCACGGGCATATTCATGATACTCAAAACCTTCTTCCCTGAATCCTTCTCCTTGCCTTGCATATAAGTACCCCCAAATTGATTCTCGGGGGAATACTGAACAATGATAAAAGTAAATATTTTTTTTTCAACTAACATACAACTAACATTACAACAAGACAATAATTCTAAAAAATAGAAGTGAAGTAACAGTGCAATCAAGATTCTAAACCAGACGTCATTATTCACGAAAAATTATAATAAGAACAATTAAAAAAGACAACATGTTCATAAAATTACAATAATAAATTTAAAGAAGAAGAAGAGAAGAAAAAAGGTTACATGTTGTAAAGCAAAAGCTCTATAATTTATTATTGTACAAGGGAAGAGCAGAAGAGAATAAAAAGGTACCAGAGTACAAGAAACAAGACTTTAAAGAAGAAAAAGAAAAGAAAAATGAGAGAACTTTGAAGGCGGAAAAAATTAAGGTTTGCTTGAAGAAAGGGAATGTAAATTTTTTAAAAAAAGAATATCAAAGGAATTTGAAGAGTAAAAGAAAAAATAAACGAAAAATTAGAAACACTTTTAGAAATTGAAATTAAGGGGGTTATAGTATAATTTCACAAATACAAGAACACAAAAACAACAAATATACATTGGGAGCCTACATTGGCTCCGCCCCTGAATACCTCCCCTATTGCATTTGTTAGTGACTTAGTTCAATGTTCTCATAATAGTGTACATGGATTTTAACAACTAAGGACCACAGCAAATGTGGTTCCGTCAATACAACAACAGAGTCAATAAAAGTTGGAAAAAAAGTAAAAAATGATAAATAATCATTTGAAATGCTTAAAAGATTACAAAGATTGAATATGTTTCCTAAATTCTTTCTATTTTTTAAAAAATATTTAATGAATGTGAATTATATATATATGCGAGTGTGTGTCTGTTTTTATTTTAAATAAATAAATAAATACAAGTCCTAGATTCACATAAACTGTGAAATGCCCAGCAGCCAAACAAATTAATACATTTCCCAAGTAATACAACATCTCCCAGAAAATCAAGAAACCCCCAAACCCACACCCGAAAGGGGACAAAAACTTTCATGGCAGCTCTGTAATTGGGCTTCTCACTAACCACAAATAAATAAAGCAAAATTATCTGCTTAACTTGGGGGAGGGAGCTCCACTCTTTCAAAAATCTCTCCATTCCTTTGTATCCTCACAAATTAAAGTTGTCCTCCAGAAGAGCACCTCAATATTCATGAACTTAAAAGGCTCTAAGACCAAAACTGAAAGAACTTAGAAACAACGAATCATGTGATTAGTTCCTCACCACCTTAAATAAGATGATAAACTGATTCTGGCTCTTTCTAACATGCTTGTGAAACACATTTGGAGCTTCTTAGATGTGTAATGCATTTACCACGAAGAAATTCCACAGACAGTGGAAATCAACATACGGAAAACTGAATAAAATTGAAATAATAAAGCAAAAGGCACAATTAGAACATTCTATTACCTCTTTTCAATTTTCATCTCCATTCGTTTTTATTTTCATTGTTATTATTGGTTAAAGTTGGATGAGATTAGGCTCTCCCTATTCATACTAAGTAATTAAGTAAAAGACACTCTAAACAGTCATGTACAACATATCCCTGATTGGCTGATTGTTATTTCCTTTTTATTAGCACAGAACTAGTCTTATTCTCACTGAAAATTCTATAGAATATGACCTTCATTATAAATCATACTGGCTTCAACTACCAAATAAACTTGGTGTCTACTAAGCAAGAATCCATGCAGTAACCTCTATATTTCATGCATTAGATACAAATTCTATAGTACTTGAAGTACAGAGAGGCGTTATTCTAAGAAGTGCACTTCTTGTATTAAATTGGTATACTTGAAGTATACAAAGGCATTATTCTAAGAAGGTCACTTCTTGTATTAAACTGTTATCCCTATTCATAAGCACATCATCTTGCATGTTTCCCTTCACTAAACCAAGAAAAACATAATTAATTACCAATTTAAATGAGTAATATGACTCGGTGCCTGATGGAAAGATCCATTCACAAATTCAGGCTACCCATGGAAGGTCGAATACCATAGGAGAACTTGTGATTCCTTCTCTAAAAATTGAGCGTATATACCTTAATTAAATTTCCCTCAAATGAAACACTTCGACAATTAAATTGACTAATACCAATGCTTATTTAAATGAGTGATTATAACTAAATCCAATTATGCCAATTTAATGGCCATAAATTGAAGTGCAAAATTATGTATTTCAAGGAATAATATTGCAGGCGGAGAGGCAACTTCTCCAATGAAATTGAGTACAACCAATTTTTACCTAAAAGTGTGATTATAATAAAATCCGAATATGCCAACTTATCCAACAATAGACTGAAGTACAAAATTATGTATTTCAAAGGCAACTGTATTAAAACTACTACAATAAACCACCACTACATAAACTTAAAGAAGCTATAACTGGAAAAGAAAAAACATTTTATCATGTTTACCTTTGACTAGCTACACATTGCCTCCTTTGACTAGCTAGACATTGCCTCCTTTGTCTAGGTTGACATTGCCCCCTTTGACTAGCTTGGCATTGCCTCTTTTGACTCCGTGTCTCATGCACCATGATGGGTGACACAAGGGTATCCAAATAGGTATCTTTGTAAGATAAAATGACCCTAGCTGGGACACCACAAAGATCAAGATCTCTATATGTTCGTTCTCCTGTGTTGTACAAAACAAACTTTTCATGGTCCAACTTCAACAGAACTTCATCGTTCTTCAAACAAGCCCATGGATACACATTGCCAGGATGTGGGATTGCAATCTCAATTTTAGTCCAAGACTGCTTCACTCCATATTCCTTCATTACCAGAAATTCACGAGCACACATTGGTAGTATACAAAGACATCCTCCAAACACCTCAAGTTTGATTGTCCGACGATCAAAATCAACACTGGATAAATCAGGCAGGGGAATCTTCCTGAATATTTCATCTACCAAATCAAAAGCAACAATTGTTAATGGCCGCTTCGAGGTAATCGAACAGAGCCAATGGATGGCTCCATTCAGGTGTGTCCCAGAATCTTTGACAATGCCTTGATAACTGAAGTCTCCACCGATTGATTTGATTGGGAAGTCTTGAACTACCTTTTTCCAAGAGTCAGTTCTTAATGAATACACATAGACCCCGTATTCGCTGCCTTTCAACACTTTGTAATCATCAACAGAGTGATCATAGCCGAACCCATGTATGTGAAAATTTGCACAGTGAGGCAAATTGAAGTATTCTATTTGCTTGTAGACTCTCGTCGAGAGATTGGATACGTAGAATAAACAATATAGTTCCTCTTGAATAATCATGTTAAAGATTACGCATACCAACCCATTATGAGAACCAATAATTTGGGGCAAATCATGAGGCTTGTGATCAAGAATGTAATCAAGCTTTTGTGCTACAATGACATTATCAAAGGCTCCTAAGTTTGCTGTGTAGATCCAATCATTGGTATCAAACGTTGTTAAGAGTATGTTTTGTGTGGGACTTTTGATTGATAGATTGAGGTGATTTTTAATGAATTGGGGTTGGGAGATTAGAGAGAGCCATGATCTGGAAACGCACCTGCATCGCAACAGAGACTTTGCGGGCAGTTTCAAGAGTATTGAAACGAGGAGGTCGGGTGGGAGGATAGGCACTGCCTTTCTGCCAGATCCAGTTGTTGTTCTTGAATCTTCCATGGCTTTGGCCTCTGATTTATTCTTCTTCTTGACTCTGCTTTTACTGATTTACTCTGAATCAAAGTACCAGTCGACAACCTCTCAACAATGAGATTGGATAGGTTTTTGGTAATTTATTAGGAGGAGGATTCTAGACTGACTGCTTTTCTAGGCTGAAAATGCAAAATACAAATTTACCCTTTCATTAAGGAGAAGCACCAAGTGTCGAATCTCGGTAATACTTTCTTAAATTTTCAAGTAAGGAGTATCTTATCTATTAAAGTAAACCTACCTATACCTAGGCTTCAGCCAATGAATACCCCATTTGCTTTAGGGTAAAGTGCAATAAAAAAAAAATAATAATAAATAATAACAAATAATAATAAAAATAATTCTTAAATTATTGTTCTTTTGTACATAACTCCCGGAACTAAAAATTGCCTCATCAATTATTAATTTGTTATAATTAAACTTAAACCCAATCACAAAAGATTATTTTATCATTTTTATTAAAATTTTAATTTCTTATTAAATTATTTTTATTATATTTTTCTTATGTAAATATTAATTATACTATTTAATGTCATTTGATATATTTGTTCATTTAAAAATTTTAATTCTTAATTTTTTAGTTTTAAAAGTGAGATAGTATCACTACACTACAATGCCCTTTTTTTTTTACACCCTACCAAATTTAACTATATTATGATCTTATAATACCAACTTAAGGGTTGACACAACTTTTTGGATAGATTTGATGGGTCTGTCTTTGTTGATGATTTGAGGAGTTATTTTTATTTGCCAAATTTTATACTTTAGGATTTGAAAATTCTCTCTTTTTTTAATGTTAAATATGTCAAAATTTTTGTATGAAGTCTAGACAGAATCAAATTTCTTTTAGGTTTCAGAGTGAACTATCCATCCAATCAACCGGGTAATATATCAAACCTTGTGAATTCAAAGCTATTCATTGCTTCCTGTAACATTCATAACTTCAGCAATAATGCATGTCCTAACAAATAACTAACACACACGGGAAGCCAGGAAACAAAAGTTATAGTGTTATTAATTATTATAAATATCATATAGCTATAAGTGGAAGAAAAAAATAAATAGAAAAAGAAAAAGACATAAATTTTAGGATAAAATACAATAACATTTTGAAGATTTATCAAAATGACATCCAGATACAAGTTATTCTATTTTGGAACAATGACAACCCTTATAAAATATGTAAAAAGTCAATTTTATCGTTCACTATTTTATTAATTTTAATTATAAAATATCAAAATGACCAAATTACCCTATCTAACTTCTCTTTGAAGCCAATCAATTGTGGCCGACGGCAACCATCACCACCTTCTCATCAAGGCATAGTGAAGTTATATTCCAGAGGAGACCACTTCAAAAGCAATACTCAACCCCTTGAAGAGTTTTGAAACCAAAATTGAATTATATGGATGGACAGAAGTAAAACCGTAAGATCGAACAGTATTAACACCCTCAAAGAGTTTTAGGACCAAACGAGATTACTTCACAAACACTGGTCCGGAACAGAAAGAAGACAGTCCAATAATTCACAGATAATGCAACATGAATCACTAAAATGCCATTATGTCTGATATAAAATTGCTTCTATCTGCTATATATATTTCACAGTAACACACTTGTTAAGATTTTTTTCTACACATTAATCATCCTAAATTCCATTTGTTTGCCTCTGTCACATTTTTGAAGATGGGCGATCGAGACTACCTACGTAGATTGTTACATGAGAATCCTCAACTTTGACTGGATCAGGCAAGACAAGATCCCTATATGTTTCCTCTGTGATGTTTTTCTTTTTTTTTTTTTTTTTTCTTTTTTTCTCCTTGAATTTCCTCTCTGATATTGTATAAATCTTTCTTAGTGCAGTCACTCAACAGCAGAGTTTCTTCATAATTCCACAAACCGTATGCCTTCGCCTTCGATAATATTGTGAATTTAATATGAAGTTTAGTCCAAGACTGATTCACCCCATATTCCTTCATAACTCAAAATTTTTAATTAGAATACGGTAGCATGCAAAGGCATCGTTCAAACACCCCTGGTCAGAATGCCTCATCAAAATTGGTGAATGAAGTAGGCATGGGAATCGTCCAATCTTTCTCATCCACCAAACTAAAAGCAGCAATCCCCGATGGCTTGTCTGAATCCTTTTCGAACCAAAAGAAATGAAGGGCTCCATTCAGCTGCTCCCATTAGCTAAACTAACTTCATTAATGCACTTAGTAAAGTTTTCAGCTTTTCTTCAAGAACCAATTCTGAGTGAATATACATGGATGCCATTGCTGCTTAGTTTCACCAATTTATAATCATCACAGCAATTTTCATAGCCAAATCCAACTATGCCACCACGGGGATCGCAATCTGGTATTTGCTTCGACTCCCTCGTTGAAGGATTGGATACATATACGAATTTAAAATCTACCTCCAGCATCTCGATCCATGGCAAGAACCAACGATTTCACACTCGGGATGAGGAGGATTGTTCTCAAATGAAAAATCAATCATTGCTGCTGCAATGTCACTACCCGCTGATTCCAAGCTTGCGGTGTAGAGACGGACTGGGGAGTTGGGAGTGGCCATGAGTATCTTCTGTGCTTGATTATTGGACTTTTTGAGTGATTGATTGAGGTGGGTTTTGATGAAGTGGGAGTCAGAGATCAAAGAGCACCATGAATACTTCAATTGCAATAGAGACTTGATGGGCAGTTTTGAGAGTATTTCGACAAGTATATATTGGGGAAGGTAAGGCAAAGACATGGCTTCTTCTTCGCAAGAGTCATGATTTATGTTACGGGCCTTCTTCATCGCCATGGCTTCAACCTTTTCTTCACGATAATTCAACCAACTTTGCTTTAGAAAAGATACAGGGTCTTATAGAATTCGTATATCATGAAAGAACCCTAACCGTGTAGGTAACCTTCGGAAACTAAGACATAAATTCGATCTCCCAAAATTGGTAAGAAATAATTTTTTATTTATTTTTATTTGTGTGTTCTTTTCCTTGACAAAGTAGGGGAGGGAAAACTCCAACGCGGAGTAATCACACCTACTCCAGTAACTATACCAACTAGAACACTGCTAAACAACAAAAGTTTGGAACCATTCAAAATTGAACCCTTCAAAATTGAAAAAACTAAATTTTCGACGTTAAACAATAGGGGAAGAGCTGTGGAGTTTTGCGGGGAGTGGAACTGAATTTTGTGGGTAACAATATTTTTTTTATGCGGACCTAGAAATTTTGTTGAAGGGTGCCATTGAAGAATAAAAAAATAATATTTTTTCAATAAATTTAAAAATATATGTAAGAATTTAATTTTTGTGACTTGTTCAATCTCTAACATGTGTTGGTAAAATTGGTGGATTTATGGAAAAAATATATATATAAATCATTATTTTTTATTTTATTTTACCTTAACAAGAAATATACTTACATATCCATTTTAATAAATATAAATAGATAAATTTCACCTTTGCTTGACGCAACGGATCCGTTGAATTTATTACCCCCTCTAAAGCTGAGGGGGGATTTCAAAGAGTGAAACTGAGAAGGGGTTTTTATGGACTTTACCCTATTTTTTGCATGCCCGCCAGGACACATGAGGCAGATCCATGCATTTTCTTTGTCAAACCTGTCCACGCCTGCATTCTTGGCCGGGGATGGTTTAATTGCATCAAAAAATATTTTTTGGTTCTTGCACATAATTGTTTTTTTTTTTTTTTTTTTTTTTTATCTTTGAAAGTTCAATTTCATGTATATACAAGTAAGTATAAACAATTGTCCGGGCCGAACTGGATCCATGCATTTATGTTTTTGAACCATGAATGGGGACATATGGGTTAGACCAAGACTAACCCATAGCACCAAAAATGCAGTAACAAAAGACTCCATATATAGGTGAGCCCCCAAACCCACAAAGAATCGGATGAAGTCATCAGAATAAATGATCTTCACAGCAATCCTGATTCATCAAATGCAGGGATTGAGTCGACACTGCGCGCGTATATAGATCGGTCTGTGTGGGGCTTACGGTGTCGTCACAGAAAGGAGAGAGTGTTGTCACATAAAGGAGAGGTAGGTGGAATAATATTATCAAACAGGGAGTGTAGATGAAATTTACTCTATATAAATCATTATAAAAGGGAATGGATGCTCTTTAAAGAAATTTGACTCTAAACATTTACAATCATTAAGCTACATCACAATTTAATTAATTAATAAATACAAAATATTATTGTTTGGACAAAAAAAAAAAAAAAAATTGAACTTGTTTAAAAAAAAAATGGAACTTGTACAAATAAGGACTTCGGAGGAAATTGAATAATGAATTGACTAATATATCCTTATAATAAAATAATATATACGTGGTATACAAATAGATAATGTGTATTTATATATGCATTCCATAGTATGTGTGTGTATATATGCAGAACGTAAATTGAAACAAGTTGAAATTATGATGGCTCTGGAAGAGAAATTTGAAGTGCCAATCGGAGAAGAGGGTGCTGCAAATATGGCAACTGTTCAAGAAGGCGCAGATCTAATTGAGAAAGTGAAGGCAGTTGCAGCATAGGTTGAATCACCTTCAAGCCACAAATTTAGCATGTAGTACTTCAAATTGATCTCTGTATGCGTAATAAAGGAGTCCTAACTTGGAATCATTGAATTGTTTTCTTTCGCTTTGGTTTTTGTTTCCACCAAACCTGAGATTTTGTTGTAGCTGTGATTGCATTGTTGAAGGGCTGCAATGGAAAATATATATACATGTTTGATCCCGAACACCACCGTCAAATTTTAATTATATGGATAGGGAGGAGTAAAACCGTAGGATGGAATAGTATTCACACCCACAAAGAGCTAGTTTTAGGACCAAACAAGATGACTTCACGTACACTAGGCAGGATTAGATAGGAGGCAGTCCATTAGTGTAAAGATAATGCAATATGAATCAGTAAAATGCGATTATGGCTGATAAATATTTGCTTCTATCTGGTATAAATTTCAAAGCAACACACCTGTTAAGATTTTTTTTTTTCTACACATAAATTATCCTAAATTACAATAATTTCATTTGGTTCTCTCTCACACATTTTTCATGAGAGGTGATACGAGACTATCTACATATACTATGGCGTGAAAATTCTCATCTTCCTTGGCCTGATCAGGCAAGTCAAGTTCCCTATATGTTTCCTCTCTTATGTTGTATAAAACTGAATTAGTGCAGTCACTCAACATCAAAGTTTCTTCATAATTCAGGTAAGCGAATGCCTTGGTCTTTGAAAACGGCACTGGGACTTTAACATCAACTTTAGTCCAAGACTGCTTCACCCCATATTCCTTCATAATCCAAAAATTTAAATTACCATATGGTAGAATGCAGAGACATCCTCCAAACACCCCTAGGTTTGATGCCTCATCAAAATCGGTGAATAGAGTAGGCATGGGAATCATCCACACTTTCTCATCCACCAAACTAAAAGCAACAATCCCCGATGGCTTGTCTGAATCGTTTTTGATCCAAAGGAAATGAAGGGCTCCATTCAGCTGGGTCCCATTAGATAAACCAAAAATATCATTGTCCATAGGAATGTCTAAAACTTTTCTCCAACAATCCATTCTCAGTGAATATATATAGATGCTATCGTTTATTCTTTTCATCAATTTGTAATCATCAGAGCAATGGTCATGGCCAAATCCGATTATGCCACCTGGGAGGTCGCAGTCTGTTATTTGCTTGGACTACCTCGTTGAAGGATTGAATACATATATGAATTCAAAATCTATCTCCACGCATATCAACCCATTGCAAGAACCAACGATTTCGATTCCAGGAGGATTGTTCCGAAACGAAAAATTTAGCATTGCTTCTGCAATGTCGGCTGATCCCAAGCTTGCGGTGTAGAGCCGGACTGGGGAGTTGCGAGTGACCATGAGTATCTTCCGTGCTGCTTGTGTATTGGAGTTTTTGAGTGATTGATTGAGGTGGGTTTTGATGAAGTGGGAGTCAGAGATCAAAGAACGCCATGAATTCGACACGCACTTGAATTGCAAGAGAGACTTGACGGGCAGTTTTGAGAGTATTTCCACAAGGAGATGTTGGGAAAGGTGAGGCAAAGGCATGGCTTCTGCTTCGCAAGAGTAGTCACGATGATTTGTGTTACGGGCCTTCTTCATCGCCATGGATAATTGAACCAACCTCTGCTTTAGAAAAGATACAGGGCTTCACAGAATTCGTAGATATCCCCTCCTTTGATATATATTCCCTGAAGCAAACTACACTAAATATATATATTTATATATATACTTAAATACATGAAAGAACCCTAACCGTGTAGGAATCCTTTGGAGACTACTAAAACATAATTTCTATCTCCCAAAATTGGAAAGAAACCTAAATAGTAACAACTACTAAATATAATTCTAATTTTTAATAAAAAATTGAAAATATTCAAAAATATAAAAACTAAATTTTCGAACCTAATTAGTAGTATTGGGGAGTTATGTGCCAATCCTAATTCACATCAACGTGATCTTATTTCATTACAATAAAAAAAAAAAAAAAAAAAAAAAAAAAAAAAAAAAAAAAAAACAAATTAATAATTAAATGTTAAAGTTCTAAAAACAATAAAAGCTTATGGTTAAGCTCCTTTCAATTCCTTTTGCGTCCAGGGAGCAATTCTATTAAGGACTGGAGATAGGAGTCGCCTCAGAATTTTATTTATTTATTAACAAAATTATTTTTATTTATTTATTTATTTTGTTAAAATCTTAAAAATTCACCCACCCATTTTTTTGAAATACGCAACTATATAGTCGTGTTATTCGGACACGTATAGGCAATTTTTTAAATTCTACAACTTAATAATAATGTTTCATGAAGTATAAAAGTTTTGAACAATGATAGTTGTAGAGGGAAAAATTCCCCTCCAACAAAATCTTCCACGTTATTAAAATAAGGTATTACTTCATTTGTTCTCCAATAGCCCATCAAAGCTCAAATTTGATCAAGTTCAAATTTGATCAAGCTCAAATAAAGTCACTATCAACCCAATGTTATTGATATTAACCTCTCCTAAAAAACCCATCCGGTCTATTCACATTATAATCCAAGTCCCGTTCAGATTAATCAAGTCCTGCTTAACAAATAATCCTTTGTATAGGAAAGCACTATCCGGAAAAGTCCTGCACAGTAAAGAATCCTATATGGAAAGAAGCTTTGCATGGGAAAAATCCTGCATGGAAAGAATTGAGGATTTCGCTATATTTTTATATATAAATAGAGGCTTAGACCTCCAATAAAGATCATCGAGCATTACAAGCTTTTCTCTGAATTTTTTTGGTTATTAATTGTTCTTTATTTGAGTGAGTTGTATTTATTATGTTCTCCAATCAAAGTATAAGATAAGTCTTTAAAAAAGGATTTGTAATTTTTTATTTTTTTATTACTCACAAGAAATTCATATATCTACTTTACTCTTTAGAGATTCTAACTCTCCTTATCCACTTTGAAAGATAGGAAGGATATCACTGAGCCACAAAGTCTTGGTAAAAAAAAAATTAGTAATTCACACATAGGACAAATAATGGTAATACATTAAATTTGGAATTGAAAACATACGAGTTGTCCTCCAGAGATAACTTGTTTTCGTATAACTAAAAATGCAAAATTGATCAACCCAACAAGAAAGTATGCAATAAGAATATTATTTACTATTTGGTATCCCAACCAATTCATAGTCATATTTTTATTTTTTATTTTTTTGGTTGAAGCTGCCATTAGAGGACCAGCGAGTCAGCGTCAAACTATTTTCAATTGAAGTTTTTTCCTGAAAATAATATATTCAAGTGAAAATGCTGCCATTGGAGGATCAGCGACAGGTTGTTTTCAACTGAAGGACCAATCAACTTCATATAATTAAAAGATCAAAATAGAATGACACGACATATTTCCCAAATATAGCTTCACAAAAAGTTCCTCAATAAACCTACTAAAATAAACCATTATGTGTTACATGGAATTAGAATATAGAAAGGGGACAAAAAATACCATTTATTATATGGTTTACCTTCCTACAAAGGATCCTTGAAAGATGAGGAATCCTAATGTTACTGTGTGCAAGTCGACCATAATTGCACTTCCAACAACTTTATTATACACAACTTAAAGTATAAGATTAGTCTTTAAAAAAAAAAATTAGTATAATTTTTTTGGTAATTCACACAATAGTACAATATAATTTGATGTATAATATAATTAAAAAAAATAAATTACTCATCAAATTATATTGGCTTCTCTGAATCCTTTTCCGAACATATAACTATAATGAAAGATCCTAACATCATAAGAAACCTATTCACACCCTCAAAAGAGTTTTAGGACCAAACCCAACAACAGAGACTAGCCAAAGCAAACAATATATGCACCTTTACTCCCTAGCCACCTTAAACTACACATACAGATAGAAAAAGCAAAAAGATCGATAGAAAGAAGGCAGTCCAATAATTTAGAGTGTAGTTTGGTTTTCTTTTTTCTACACAACAATCATCATCCTAAATTTCATTTGTTTGCCTAGGTGATACAAGACTATCTACATAGATCATTGCATGATGAAAGTCCAGATCACATTCTTCCATGTTAGGTATGACAAGGTTCCTATATGTTCCCGCTCTTTTGTTGTATAAAACCAACTTACTCCAGTGGGCTAGCAACAGCAAATCTTCATCATAATTCAACAAAGCCAATACCTGCAAGCTATCTGGAAATGGGTTTTTAATATCAAATTTAGTCCAAGACTGCTTAACCCCATATTCCTTCATAACCCAAAATTTGTCATCGCGACATGGTAGTATACAAAGGCATCCTTCAAACACCCCTAGTTGGGGTGATACATCATCATAACCGGTGAAGGAAGTAGGCAAAGGAATCCTCCACAGTTTCTCATCCACCAAACTAAAAGCAGCGATCTCTAATGGCTCGTCTCGATAGTCTTTCAAACAAAACCAGTGAATGTCTCCATTCAGCTGTATCCCAAAATCTAAAACATTAACAGTGTACTTGGGGAAGTCTAGAACTTTTCTCCAACAACCCATTCTCAGTGAATATACAGAAATGCTATTGCTGGTTATTTTAACCAATTTGTAATCATCAGAACAACGGTCATAGCCAAATCCAACGTTACAAAGAAAATTGCAATCTGGTATTGGCTTGGACTCCCTCGTCGAAGGATTGAATACATATATGAATTGAAAATCTACCTCCAGGCATATCAACCCATTGCAAGAACCAATGATTTGACACTGAGGATGAGGATTGTTTTGAACAACAAAATCAATCTTTTCTACTACAATGTCATTACTGGCTGATCCGAAGCTTGCGGTGTAGAGACTGCATTGGTAGTTGGATTTGGCTATGAGTATCCGCCGTGTTTGGTTTTGATTGAGGTGGGTTTTGATGAAGTGGGAGTCGGATATCAAAGAGCGCCATGACTTCGACACGCACTTGAATTTCAACAGAGACTTGACGGACAGCTTTGAGAGTATTTCCACGAAGACTTGTTGGGGAAGGTAAGGTATAGGCATGGCTTCTTCTTCGCATGAGTACTCATGATTTGCATTCTCTGCCAAGGCTTTTGTGTTGAGTAATCGATCCAAACTTCGCTTTAGAAAAGATAAAAGACACAGGGCCATATTCGTAGTAGTAATTTGTTACAATAATGATCTGATCTCGCTGCTTCTGATATATTATATATTCTCTGAAACAAAGTGCCAAAGTAGGCTACGGCTAAGTCTTTGAGTCCTAAAGGGATTCAAACAAAGTGTCAAACTAGCAAGGGCGGTGACAATTAAGGCCCAGCTATCCCTGCTTATTATACGTACTTACCTAATTTTGTTATTTTAATTTTACCAAATTCTTCCCCCTAAAATTTCCGATTATTAAAATTATCTAAGTTTTCTTTATTTCCATATTTACTTTGCAAATTCCTTTTGATTTCCTATTTAAAAAAAAAAAAAAAATCCCTTTCTTCAATTAAATTCTTATTTTTCTTGTTCCTTTTTGTTTGCCAACCCTAAGTGCGGATATCACCTCCATACCCTCTATACAAATGGAGGAGGTCAAATTCAGTAGATAAATTACACGATTCTATCCTTTGATTTGTTATAATTACACAAACCTCTCTTATAATCTTAAAAACTATTTTGACCTACCTTTTAAGGGAAATTTTGTAACATGAACCTTCTTCCCAGACTGTGAGATGGACTAACGGAACTTCTTTTACCAAAATACCCTCAAATAGTGACTTATAACTACAGTGAGCCCATATATCTTACTATGAGGCTCAAGTCTTTGTTTGGGAAAATAGACCATATAGGGTATGGAGGGAAATAATTTAACACCCATATATGTTATGGTGATAAATGTTTACAAATCAATCAATGGCAGTGGGTCAACGCTACCAGATCCACGAAGGTTTCATTAGTAATCAAATTAATCAACGGCAAAAAAAAACTCTTGCTCATCATCCCGATATCAAATATGACGGCTTGTATACCCTCACAAAGGTAAGGTTAGGTTGTCAAGCTAGGGAATAGTAGTGGGAGGGCGCCTAAGCATCCCAATGAGCAATGGCCATCTTTTACTGGATTGCAACATATGATTGCATTTGTCGCCGCTTGCCTTCCCCTAAAAGTGACCACATTCTGACCCACAATTGCACAAGAAACTACTAGTTTTGAAGCATGCCTACTTTTCTGGTGGTGTGGGAATAAATGCATTCTTACTTTTGTGATGAGATATAAATCGATTGATGGTACTCCCTGAGCCAAGGAAGATTTTCTAATCTATAGCCTATGCAGAGTGAGCAATCAAATCATTGCAAAAGGAGTGTAAATGCAGCTCTGTTTTTGTGTTTGCATCTCAGAATAATAGTGCAAAATCCATCTTCCATCATTAGCACTAGGTAGCGAAATAAGGAGTGGTCGTGTAAATTCCACAAATTAACAATATTCCTTGACAATGCAGTCCCCACCCACCTTTAACTACTGCACAGAGAAATAGCACATAATAGAAAGAAGGCGGTCCAATAGTTTAGAGAGCTTTTAATCAGATAAAATGCAATATGAATCGGTAAAATGCCAATACGGGCGTTAAAAACATGCTTCATCTGGTATAAATTTCACTTTATTTTTTCTACCACATCAATCATCCTAAATTTCATTTGTCTGCCTCACACATTTGTGCAGGAGATACGAGACTATTTACGTAGATAGTTATAGTTGCATGAATATCCTCATCTTTTTCTGCGATGTCAGATACGACAATACTCTCATATCTTCTCTTTCTGTAGTTATATGAAACTAACTTAGTGCAGTAGACTATCAACAGCAGAGCTTCATCATAATTCAACAAAGATAATGACTCCAAGATATCTGAAAACGAGTTTTTAATAACAAATTTAGTCCAAGACTGCTTCACCCCATATTCCTTCATAACCCAAAATGCATCATCACATGGTAGTACACTAAGGCATCCTTCAAACACCCCTAGTTGGGATGCCACATTAAAATCGGTGACGGAAGTAGGCATGGGAATCTTGCACAGTTTCTCATCCACCAAACTAAAAGCAGTAATCTCAAATGTATAGTCTGAATCATTTTTCAAACAAAGCCAGTGAATGGCTCCATTCAGCTGCATCCCGTTCCCGAAAACATTAACACTGTACTTGGGGAAGTCTTGAACTTTTCTCCAAGAACCAATTCTCAGCGAATATACACACATGCTATTGCTGGTTATTTTCACCAATTTGTAATCATCAGAGCAATGGTCATAGCCAAATCCAATGTCACAAGGGAAATCGCAATCTGGTATTTGCTTGGACTCCCTTGTCGAAGGATTGAATACATATATGAACTCAAAATCTACCTCCATGCATATCAACCCATTGCAAGAACCAATGATTTCACACCGAGGATGAGGATTATTTTGAACTACAAAATCAATCTTTTCTACTAAAATGTCATTATTGGCTGATCCGAAGCTTGCAGTGTAGAGACCGAATGGGGAGTGAGAAGGGGCTATGAGTATTCGCTGTGTTTGAATATTGGACTCTCTTAGTGATTGATTGAGGTGAGTTTTGATGAAGTGGGAGTCAGATATCAAAGAACGCCATGACTTGGACACGCCCTTGAATCTCAACAAAGACTTGACGGGTAGCTTTGAGAGTATTTCGACAAGAAGATGTCGGGGAAGGTAAGGCAAACGTGTGGCTTCTTCTTCGAATGAGTCATGATTTGTAGTCTCTGCCTTCTTCATCACCATGGCTTTGCATTGAGTAATTGAACCAAACTTTGCTTTAGAAAAGATAAAAGGTACAGCGCCTTGATGTGATCTCTGCTCTTGATATGTATATTCTCTGAAACAAAGTGCCAAAAGTCGGTTATTAGTTGACCCTTTTGCATCCTTAAGGGATTCAAAGAAGAGATAAAGGAATGCAAATTATACAAACTATTCTTTAATTCTAAATTGAGTTTAATAGAGATTGGATAAATAAAAGACTCTTTTTGAGAAGGCATAGGTCTTAACAAGAGAGAACTCTATGTCTACTTTAGATATATAATAAATATGTAATTTATCAATCATATTATTTTCTCATTCTTTTTAATATATATTTTCATATTAAGATTCACATTTTTAATAGACAATTAACAAAAACTACCGCAGATAAAATTAACACACTTTATAATGAAATCTTTCTACGATTTGAAATAATAATAATAATAATAATAACTTGTAAAGTTCAAAGAACAACAAAAGCTTCAGTTAAGCCTCATTCAATTTCTCCTGTTCCAACACTTTGATCAGAGGCATGACAGCATAAAAAAGACAGAACAGAGAACAGAACAGAAAAAGAAACATCAGGACAGTCATATATATGGTTGCAAACACCATGCCATCCCAAATTGAAATGAAATTATCCAAATCTCTATAAGAAGGTAATCCGAACTCCTCAAACACATTTAATAGTTGGTCATAAAGACAAAACATAAATCATTACTAAAATGTCATGAAAACTCACTCTCTTCCTCTCCTCCCATACATCTGAGAGACAGTGGGTTTGCACGTAAGGAGAGACAACATCATGACCAGTACTCACACCATTGAAGAGTTTTGAAACCAAACCTGAACGTTACTATAAAGAAGGTAGAACAAAGCACCCTTACCCAAGCAAAAACAAAAATAAAAAATAAAAATCCCAAAAAAGTAGTATTCTTGCTTCTAGCTAATTTCTGAAAAATTCAACCTTTGGGGCTGTGTGAGAGTGCCTAACTGGCCGTGAAAGGAAAAATCTATCTACTTCCATGTAAGACAAACTTATGCAAACCAATAAAATCTTTGCATCTTCTCTAAACTTATCCAGAATACTTCACAATAAACTCTCAATAACAACTAATTTAAATACTACGGTTTGATAAAAAGGTTCCATTTATTCGTCCAGGTTTTGCTTCGTTTGAAGGAAAACACAGAGAAAGAAATATAAAAAGATTCAAACTTCTGGACATGACAATCAGAAAAGCCATTAAGGTTAACAAATATTATATGGTTATAAAAAAATAATCAAGCACCAAATTTGCCCATTCATCCTAACTTTCAATGTGTCCGCATCTCATCCTGTGCAACTTGGACAACCTCATAAATGCACTTGAAAGAACATTAAGTACTATAACTTAAAGTATAATATATGTCCTTCAAGAAATAGTAATGTACACAGAAGGTAGCACTATTTGAAACAACAATGGCAAGTCGTTGTCTGCTACATGGAATTTGAAGGCACGGTGTCAAGAAAGAAAAACCTATGGAGTTGTCCACCAGAGAAGAGCCCTTCCCATACCCTTAAAGAGCACACAAACCAAAATTGATCAACCCCAACACACCAACAAGAACAGAAGGACATGGATTACTTCCTTACCAGACATAGAATACAATATAATATATATGATGAACTAATTTAATCTCCCCAGCTACAAGATTTTATTCTAGGCTTCTAGCTATTGTTCAAATGAAAAATGCTGGCATTGGAGGACCATGGGAGCAATAATCTGGTTTCAATAAAAAGACCAATCTACTTCCATATAACTAAGAAATCAATATACAATGACATAACATAATAGCATATATCCCCATATAGCTTCACAAAAGCTCCTCGATAGCAACCAATTTCCAATCCTACTAAAATAAACCATTATGTGTTACAACTTACATGGTACTAGAATATAGAACAGGAAAAAAGATACCACTTATTATATGGTTTACCTTTCTACAAAGGATCCTCATGATGGCGATATGAGGCTCTCCACAAAGATTTCATGGTTAAGAAGAAGTATATGCCCATGTTGGAGGGCCTGAAATACAAGATCCCTATGTGTTCTCTCTCTCTCTTATATTGTATAAAACTAACTTGTAGTCTATCACTAACAGAACTTCATCATTTTTCAACAAAGGCAACGGCTTGATATCAAAATCAAACATAATATTGGTAATCCCAATTTTAGTCCACGACTGCTTCAAGCCATATTCTTTCATTATCCAAAATTCACGACTTTGAAATCGCTTTATACAAAGGCATCCTCCAAGCGCCTAGGGTGAGAGCAGGCGTAGGAACCATAAACTGCTGCTTTCGATCCTTATTTAAATAAATCCAATGAATGGCTCCATTTAACAGTGTACCAAAACTCGACCAATATGGGAAAGTAAAGCCACCACTGTAAGGAAGACCCTGAACCACTTTCCAAGAATCACTTCTTAATGAATACACATGGACATAATCTCTGTCTACTCTCACCAGCTTGTAATCATCAATGGTGTGCTCATACCCAAATCCATATGTAATATAAGTTCCCTTGGATTGGGAGTTGATTATTAATGCTGGTATTTCCTAGGAACACTCTCCGGTTGAGATATTTAATATATAAAAGCAACATAGTTCAGACGTTATGCATACCCAACCATTACAAGAACCAATAATCATGAGTCTAGTGTGAGGCTTGTTTCCAAAAATATAATTAATGTCTACTTCTACCATTGTTTTGTTTTCATGATCAGATGTTTGGAGGTTGATGGCGTAGAGACGATCACCAGGATTTCGAGTGTAAATGAGTGTTCTCTGTCTTTGGATGTTAGGGTTTGTGAGTTATTGATTGAGAGGTGAGTTTTGGAAATCAAAGAGAGCCATGACTTAGAAACGCACCTGAATTGCAACAGAGTCTTGACGGGCAGTTCTGAGAGTATTTGTCCGACGACATCTATGGGAAGGTCAGCCACCTTTTTGCACGACTCATTTATATTCTTTGCCTTTTTCATCGCCGCCTTGGCTTTGTCCTCCTCCCTTCCTCTTCTTGCTATGTAATCTATAGCGATGCCATTAGATGATCATTAGATCACTCCTTTTAATTGGTTGATTCTGGAGTAAATCCCTCAACTCTCCTTCTCTTATTTATTTATTTATTTTCAGCAATTTTATCCTTTTTTTAATTAAATTTATTATTTTTTATTAAATTATTTTATTATCTTTTCTCTTATTTAAATATTAATTATAATATTTATCTTAATTTTATTATTAATATTAATTTATCACAAAAAAAAAATTAAAACCGTAAATTTCTAAAATGATTATCTTATTATAGAAATTTTACCATTTATAAAAAACTTATTATACGCAGTTTAAGTTATTTACATAAATTAAATATCTTATTTTTCATACAATATATTTATGAAAAATTAATAAACTACTTAACTTAATATTTTTTTTTTTAAATAATTATTTTCAAATATTAACGTTGAATTTATATAAATTTAATAAAGAATATGTTATCAAATTATTATGATTATTTTTTTCATAATTTATTTTAATAAGAAAAATAGGTTAAGTGTAATTTAATATGACATTATGGTCATTTAATACAAAATAGTTATTGGAACATTTTACAAATAAATGTAATAATTTAGGAGATATTATAAAAAAATATATTTCAAAAGAGTTATTTAAATTCGAACATAGTTCAAAAGAGTTTTTATACTTTACTCTTTAATTTACTTAGAGTTGTTAGTAAAATGGGATTGTGATTTTTGTTTAAGAATTTTTTAAAAGAATAAATAATATATTTTTCCTAATTTAATTCTCTTACTATGGCCATGGGGTGAATCTCCGAGTGATAAAACAAACTTCCTTTTTACTTTTTTTATATTGACTTGTATAAAAAATAAAAACAAATTTAGTATCAAATATCAATAATAATAAAAGAATATTTTATTAATAAATCATTACTCCAATGGTATAACTATAACATCTAATCTGTCTTCTCAGTTTTAAACTATTCACTTAGTAGACCAGTTGAAGTCAAATTCTCCAATTAAAAAATTTATTAATTTCTTCCCAAACCCCTAGATTTGCATTGATTTGGCTCGAACTAGGTATTTGAACAGTTTTTTTGTGCGTATCCTATAAGCGACTAATTGTATTTAATAACTAATATGTGTATGATCTAGGTTGGACCGCATTTGCTTACAATAAGAGACTTTTAGTTGAAATTAATCGTACAACGCCTACCACCAAACAAATGAAAAAAAGGGCCAAAAAATTAAGTTAATATATTCCTGAAAATCAAGAACGGCGAATTATCAGAAAAAAATAATAATAATACTCCAATGTGTAAGCTGGGCGAGGTACGTCGGACTAAAACCCTCCTTTTTTTTTTTTTTTTTTTTTTTCAAATTGGCATTTTATTAAGTCAACTGGATGCTTTAACAATACAGACCAGACCACAAATATAACAAGATGCCCTCTGTTGTTTCTTTGTCCCTTCTCTGTATGGAAGATGTCCCCCTCAAGATTTGATTTCTCTGCCTCTTCTCCTCAGTCTCTCTGTGAGTGGTGGATAGAGTTTGTTCACAAACGTTCATCAAAGGAGGACGGTCCAATTATCCTAGATCATTTATTTTATTTTTAAATTATATGCAATTTTTAAAAAGCGGGATGTTTCTTGCACATTTTTTATATAATATTTTTTGCATTTTATTCTAATTTTATATGTATATTATTATAGATAAAAAATACTAAATTTTTTTTCATTTTGTCAACAATCCAGTGGCCTAACCCGGTACCAAACTCATACTTCCTAAATGGAAGTCTTGGGTTCAAGCCTTACAATTGACGTGGTAAGTAACTATAGAATACTATGAATTGCACCTTACTTTATTTGTTAAGAGATAAGGGAGGAGAGAGATTGCTAATATTAGGTTTACGTTATAATTAAGAAGGATAA